TCCGACAGACTGAAAGGCGAAGCAACAGGCTCAGATTCAGCTAGATACTTCGATTGGAAGCCTCTGCAAAGAAAAAAAATCCATTCTAGCAAATGAGCACTGAGGATAACAGCACTATACACATCTTTGCTCACTCATTACGGCTAATACCTATGGACCACCACGAGCACTTACGGAACCGTCGTCGAGGAGAAGATTGCAGCTGCCTCGTTAAAAGCACATTTGAAGCTATTTGCTGTCTGAACCGTCGATCCTTCTTAGCGCTACTTCCTCACTATAGGACGTAAACAGACAGCTGCGGAAAAGGTCCCTCAGGCGCCCCTGGGTCTGACCTCTGACCCCTACTGTAGATCTCCAACCCCTTCTAACCCCTCACTCTACTCTGCCGCCCCGGGGCTGTTCACTCATTCGGGCTCTTACTTGCCCCCCTACAGCCTTCAGGCACCTGAGACATTTCTAAGGCCTGAGCTAGCTCTGGTGAGCTAATGGGCGAGAGGTGGACGTACTGACAGCAGAGTACATGTGCCCATATAGTCTGTCTCAGGATGTGCAGGGTGCAGCTAATGGATTCCTGAACCTCTGCAGTGCTGTCAAATGGGGAAGAGATGCACTTGTACACTAACGAGAGAGAGGGAGAGAGAGAGAGAGAGGGAGAGAGAAAGAGAGGGAGAGAGAGAGAAATCACTTTTTCCACTGACTAATGACTTGACTGAGCCATTTTTAATGGCTCTCCATCTGTCCGTCGCAGAGTGACGCCAGTGCGTTCCATAACTTCAGAGCGCGTTTGATCAGGGCCTAAAACGCTCAGCAAAACAGGACCGGCAAATTTGTCAACAAACAGCGCGCACATGGCAGCTGTAGTAGGGTGTCCGCGTAAGCATCCGCGATGACGCATACACACAAATGCCAACGCACCCGCGCTTTCACTCATAAGCACGCACACACGCATAAATACACACACAGGAGACAATGTAATATTCCTGGCCCTACACACACCGACGTGCTGTGACACGTTGGCCTCCTGCTTTCTCGCTCACTTGGCAGCTTTCTCTGTCAAAAGAACAGAGGCAGGAATCATAAAACCGCCGCCCGCCGAAAACACACACATGCAGACGTAAAACACACACCTCGCTGCATTGCTGGAACACCGTCAGTCTCAAATTAGAGTTTGTCTGAAGAAAGGAGGAGAAAGGGAGACGCAGGCAAAAGCAAAATGAAAAAAAGAGATAAGCTGAAAGGAGGGAGCCTTTTCCGAGTCCTGATCACTTTAACAAAAACACACACTTAACAACGATTAACTGATTCCAGTTTTCACTTTCTATCTGATCCAAAAGCTAGTTCTGTTTTTACTACTGAATTTAATCATTTTCTTGTTTTAAACAGTTTATCAACAGTGTATTATTCTAACCCGGCCTAACATCTTGCGCATATCAAGTGTGAAACACTTTCACAATTAACCTACACAAGAAGGTCATGCCTAGGGGCAAACATAATGCCTTAAACCACTAAGCTGTGTAAGCTAACGGTGGGTTTTCAGGTGCCACTTCCAATCATTTACCAATTACTCTCAACAGAGGCAACAACTGGCTTTATTGGGGGGGGTGATGACAGAGCAGGGGCCACCTGTGCAGGAGGGAAACAGCAGTGCAGGCTGGGAGGCCTGTCCCTGCATGCTTTCCAGATATGACAAACACCCGACGCCTCCTGACCTCTGGGTGGCTGGACGCTAGATCTTAGATCCAGCCACGGGCCGTCAGGTCTGTCGAACCCCGTCCGTCCCACCAGGAATGCTTGCACACACTTTAGGACACACAAGCAAACACTTGCACTCTGCAGCTTGCGTGGAAGATACCGACACTGAGCTGAACCGGAGCGATCCATCTCGGTGCAGCATCAGTCATGTGCGTGTCAGAGCAGCGCCATAAACAACGCCGGAGAACAACAATGCCAGACAAGCCCCGGTGTTGAGTAAGAGTGCGATCGGGTAACCTGAGTCAAAGCCTCAGTTAGCAGACACATTAGAGTGTATTCACAATGCCGCGCTGTACTAACTTTATGCCGCCGCTTTAAATTGTGAAGTAAATACCGGAACACACGGAGAGGCTGTGAAAACCTCAGATCACTGTGGAATCCCTCTTCAGCTGATAACATAATGAGCAGGCTTCAGGGGGAAATTCCACAGTTACAGTAGTGAATGAGCCCCTTTAACAGGAGGAATAATGCCGGCGGGTCAACTGTCTGAGGGGAATCTGATGATGGCATTTTTAAGGGAAAAGTGGGTTAGTCAGAGATAAGCGGGTTCAGCTAAATAAAGGGCTCAATTCATCTCCTCTGAGTGATGGCATTCACTGCCGAATGCCCACAGATGAGTCAAGGTCAGGCTTCAATAGATAACCGAGACGGTGGTTAACAGAGCAGAGACGGGCAGGATGCAGCCAGACGTCTCATCTAATCTAATCTCATCTGTCATTAGATCTCCCAGTAACAAGAACGGGTGTGTTAATGCATTGTACTGTACTGTATCATTAAATATCATGCTCTCATATCAGTGTCAGCAGTGTAGTGAACAATTCACCACATGTGAGGATTAACAGGAAGTCTATTGATCTGAGCTGTCAGAACATTTTATTGTGCTTGATAAAACTGCAAAGCACTCTTTCCGTCTCATTTTCAACATTACACCTTTTATAATGTTGAATAAGCATAAAATGAAAATGAAAATACATCCACCAATCAAATCAAGCCAGAACTTTTGAGATTGGTACATCCCGTAGCGAGAAGGTGAATTCCTTTTATGCTTAGTCACGAGACTAAGTGACTCTCTAAATCCTCTCAGCTGCGAGCATCTGGAGGCTCGGTGACTCAGTGTCTGTTGTAATCTAGTCAGAGGAGGGATAAGAGGAGTTGGGAAACGCAGTTTTTTGGGAGGAAAGCAAGTAGCGTGCTCGGCGTGCGTCTCGGGAGGAGAACTGAGAGAGACCATTTCCTCTGCGGTGCAGACTGATGCCGGGTCGCTCTAGCCACTTCCTAAACACAAAACAAAGCTGCTGAGAAGAGTGCTGAGTGAACAGCTATAATAGCATACCTGTAGGGGTTAAAAACAACGCGGCAATGAAACGGACGTCGTTTTTGTCGTTGTTTTGCCTGCTGCCGTGCTTCCTATGCTATAACTGCCAACGCGGCTGAGACCTGTCAGTCTGCCTGGACAGGTTCCGCTCTCTCGTATTTACACTCAGTCCGAATAACCACTCACACGACAAACACTGGTGATCCCTTCTCTATCAGAGTCATGTGAGATGAAATTATACAACCTCGCGCATCAGCAAACATCGCAGGCCGGTAGGTACAGCAGGTATCACCTCGGGCAGGCTTTCCCCCGCGAGACTCCACGGAGGAGGAGAGTCACGCTTTTAACTTTGAGACCTGAAGGAGTCCAGTACAATTATGAGGTTCTGGTATTCCAATGGAGTATTCCCATTTTGTCAGAAATTTCTGCCACATTATTTAAGAGAGAAATGTTGTTCCTGTTCCTCCAAAACATTGTTCTGATACACAAGAAATTCTCTTATAATAAGATGCAATGCTGTAGTTTGAACTTCTAAACACATGAATTAGTTCTGCCAAGCACAACACGAACAAACTACTGTGCATCAATGATATGCTGCCTGCATGTTACTGACATTTAACTTCCACTTTTTCAACGTGTGAATGCGGTGCTGTGAAGTATTCTTGTCTGGCCACATTTATGAGACTTGTTCTGCTAAAGAGAGTAAAGTTCAACCTCGCTGTGACAGTAATGTATATTAACTATGAGGGCACAATGAGGGAACGTGTAATAGCGATCATATCAAGTCTCAACCCATACTGTGGTAATCCAAACTATACATAATGGATATTATGCTGCTCTATATTGATTCAAACCTCGATACAATTTGACCAAATCTTATCACATAGAGGCCTCTGAGTCCATGTGCCCAAATTTGCTGATTATGATCAATTTGAAAATTATTGCTCATCTACATATTGTTTAAAGTGAAAATAGTAAACATTTGCAAGTTTGTTTTCCTCCATTTTATGTTAAAAAACCTTTGGGATTCAAGACTTCTGATTATACAGAATATGAAAAAAATAGTCAAATTGTGATGGAAAATAGTCTTTAGTTTCACCATTTTATAAATAAATAGTTCATGTAAAAACAAAACAAACATTTGATTGATTACTTCATGAAGAAAAACTAGCTTTTCAAATCCTCTGTCAAGTAGATTCCATTATAAAATGTTATTATAGAGAACCACTCCTTTGTTATGGTTATGCCAGTCGCCTCTGAGCTGATGTCCACATGTTGTTACTGAAGTTTCTAAATCTCCTGGTGAAAACCGGTGGTTCATTTTATTGAATTATAAGCCTGTAAAACCTGCATCATGTGTGGCTGCATTCAGGCCTGATGCTGCAGTGAGAGAGGCCAACGAGCTCAGTGGACATGAGGCAATTCTGGGCACGGGAACACACAAGCATGTTTTTTATCCCAATTCCCACGTCCTTCTCGCGGGAACCTTGGGAGTTACCATGAGAACAGATGGGAAAACTCTGCTCCTGCCAGCTGAGACCCCCCTGCCCTCCCACCCGCCCGAGCTGAAACTTTTCAGCCCGTTTGAACGGTTTCCATTTGACTTCTGTCTTCTGCGGGCTTCGTTAACTTGTATAAATCCCCATGGGATGCGTTTCCCCTCCCGGAAGCCAACTGAGTTTAACCTCCAAAGACTTGATGTGATCGCGTGTTGACACACACACGCGCGTGCAATCAACAGACCAACATGACAGAAGTGTGTGTGTGTGTGTGTGTGTGGGGGGGGGGTCCTTTTCAAACATGCTTATTGTACATGCAACACATCAAAATGGCAAGTGATGAAGTGGTCTTCAGTGCATTCGCCCCGTAATAACACCAACAACTGTAGGTTATAACCGTGGATTTAAAACGACGTGAATGCACATGTTCTTACCGACAATAAGGCATAATAGATCCAAACCGACAAGCATCTTGCTCTTGGTGCAAAACGAGCTCTCCTCCTCGGACCCGGAGGGGAAGCGCTTCCCACCGCCGTTCTCCATTCCGTCCCCGGCCCCTCCACCGTCCGCTAACCGCAGCTGGAGCTCCGCGTCCCGGGGCAGCGTGTCGCTGTGTGTACCGGTGGAGTTGAACTTCTGCATGTCTTTAGCTCCAAAAAAAGTGAATGACAACTTGTTTTAAAAGAATAAAGTTACTGCAATGGGTCCGCCTTGTCGAGTGATGGTGATTCCCAAAACCGTTTCAGTCCGCCCGTCGTCGGTGCAACAAATCCATGTCAACGACAGTTTGACAGCAGCACACCGACCGACCGCCAGTTGCAGAGGGGGGGGGACAGACGGAGGCTAATTGGAAATAAAAGGCAACAGCAGCATCCGAGTGAACTTCAACTCAGTTCCACAAACTTGTTCTGAGTGGGAGCGTGCTGTAACCTACTCTCACACCGTCCCGACCAGACCTGCAGTCACGTTAACGTCAAACAAACATGAATGAAAAAACACTTGGTTCAAACTTTCAAAATAAAGTGCTCTCTTGTTGAACGTTAGCCTCGCCGTGCGTCGAGTGGAGCTGGAACATTACTTTTATTTGAAAAATGTTCGTATCATTTCCGGTGTTGTTCAGTGTGACTTTGACTGTTGGCGGTAAAAAAAAAAAAAAAAAAAAGGAAAGCGATCAGAATCAATGTGGAGCTCACTGCAACATGTTCGATCCCGTTGACCTGACAGCTGTGTGACGGTGGTTCCGATGTGCCCCTATCCTTTTAAACCGTCCCACCCACGCGAGGACACGTCCCAAACTACAGCTCCTGACCGTCTCCAGATTAAAAACGCAGATTTAAGGAGATTTTGTTTTGGCTTGCACAACCCCAGAACAACAGTAATCAACACTTTTTCAACAGGCTAATCCGCCTGATATCGATATCTAATGTGATTAATGAATGTGGTGATGGTGACATTGTGGTTCAGCTCCATAGAAAAAGTCATGAAATCATATCGATTGCACCATCTTTTCCCTCACGCATGCAAGACTGCCTGGCAATTAGATTTTTCCATAATATTGACTGTTGCTGTTTGACTGTCTGCCAATACACTAGATAAATACAGGCTTCTAGGCAGACAAAAACACACTCCGAACACAGACTTTCCATCGGGAAGCTTATTTTAAATTCATGAAACCTTATGAAATGCCACAAATTTAATTTCTTAAATCAACTAGTCAGCTGATTATGCCATTTTATTTCTCTGTGATTTAATTCTGGTTGTATTTGGAAGATCAGATCACAGATATCCAGCTTTAAACCAATTTAAATCCTGGTTGTTATTGGCAGCTTAATGCCTTGCTCACTGTGTGGAAGAGGTTTCCTGCCACCTGGTGTGAAGCAGAGCTGCTTAAACTTCTCAAAGGTTTCTCAGCATCTTGAAACTCTGCCTGTTTATTGTTTGCCACACTTAAGTTAGTGCTGCAACTAACAACTATTTTCATTTTTGGTTTATAACATGGCAGAAGACAAGAAAAAAAAAACATCAACATTTATCAGTTTCTGAGTTACATTTGACGCATTTTCCCAAAATGAAGAAGAATTAATGTTTCTGCCATTATGAGGATAAATGGGCCATTATGAATGCCGAGACATTTTAAAATGGCATTTGATATAGGAGAGGCAAAAAATATATATTATTAAATAACAATCTGAGAATTAAAAATTAATCAAACATTTCAATTAGAAACGGGCAACGTTTAAATTCAATCTGGCAAATGTGAAAGTGAAAAACACTGTATTGAAGGAACTGAAAACTGAAAATGTTAGAAAATACAGAATATCATTTGTTTTCTCTTTAAATCTTTTTTCTCATCTGCTTCTTTTGTTTTTATCTCATGCGCCGTATGTGAAATCGAAGGTGCAGTCTGCCTATGAGGCACAAACCTTGAAGTCACTAATGTTCAGAGTCTGTCAGTCTCACAATCTTGGATTTACAGTCACTGCAACACGTCTACAGTGGGCTCACCCCTGATCACTTGTCTTTTTCCAAAGTCCATTCCTCCAGTGCAAAACTTAGACTGTGATTGCTCTTGATAATGTGCAAGCAAAAAACTACAACACGTGTCAAAATCTCAATTAATGGTCATCTTCAAATTCCTGTTGTCCTTTTTATTTTTTTGAGTGTGCAGCTGATTAAATGTTGATATATTGATGTCTTTAAAAACCCAAGAAAAAGAAAGTGACAGATGGAAAAGGAAAAGGAGGAAGGGAAGTGAAAAAGGCCACTTTGATATAATGCAAGTCATTTTCCATTTGTAAGTCCGCCATGTTCATTCCATTCTTCAGTGCAGTTTTTAGACACACTACAGACACATTTACACTAATGTCATTTCTAACTGTGACATATGGGATGACAGAGTGGTGGTTGATTTTGCATGTACTTTTATGCACATTTGTCTTTACCAGCTGTATTTTTACCTGTGGTCTTTGGTCTTTTGGGGAAACTCTCACTACGTAGTAAAACCAGACAGTAAAACACCAGTTTCACATGTGTTTTAGCATCATACATTGTTACATGTTTACATTTACTGTTAGGTAAAGAGTGATAAAGCATAATTCGTTTTAATTCTGTTTGTCTGGTTGGTGCAGTTTTGATTTGCATCCACTAGATGGCGGTAAATTATCATTTAGTGGCCAGAGTAAGTAAACGTACTGTACAAGGACTGGGTGTAAAATGGCTGGAGTCACAATGAGTCACAGCTCTACTGATCTGATGTCACTTTGCGATGTGTATTAAAGGACACAAGGTGTAGTAATGTGTTGAATATCTCGACCATGACTTTTGTTTATCGCAGTCACTGTCGGTCTATGACGATCTACATGTTGGTGTCATCGCCCTCATTCTATTCTGATCTGATTTTCCATCCTCCTTTGTCATTAAGTGTCACTGTTTCCATTATTAATCTATCCATCCTCACCCACTCCAATGTTTGTATGAAAATTTCATTTTTAATGAGTAATTTCTCCACATTTCCTCTGTGCCTATCAATGAAACTTTATGATTCATTCAGGGATATGCCATTTGATGCCTTTTGTCTCGAAACTATTTCATCACCCGAAAAAAAAGCAGTAGTTATGCTACAAACATTGCTGAAACAATTGTATTTCCCCCTCGCCATTTACATCCTGTTTGTCATCACAGGCCAAAAAAATACTCACTATGTTTCAAATGTGCACCTGACTCTAAATAATGCACCTGCTCTTCAGCTTTTCCTATCTAATTCTAATTATGTGTTCTGTCTGCTATTATTTAACTCAAATACAACCCTACTAAGTGCACATGAAGGCCTCCAGCCACTGTGAATGGGCAAGTCTGGGCATGATTTTGTTATTGGGCTACTTGAACTGAGGTACCCTATCGTACCATTTTGTCTCAGTCTTATTTTCTGTTTGATGACACATACCTGAACTAAAGCCCATCCTGTTTTTCTGCCACAAAACTTTCCCCGAGCAAAATGCAAACGGTGAAAGTAAAAACATGTTCACTGACCTCAACCACAAGTCAGGGGCAGGTGGGAATTTTCAAGAAGTGCAAATAGTAAATAACATATCATGACATTTTGTTACTTCCACCATGAATTTCTATTGTGACGTTTTGTTTGACATTATTGTACTTGCTTGGACAGTTAAAGGAGCTTTTACACAATAAGTCATTTTTCTGTACTTTGTATTCATTTTATATCTACAGTTCCCGGTCTTATCAGCCTTTCACCCAAAGATTTGAAAGGAAAGGAATTGTTCAAAATTCCTGTTTGAAAGCGTCAATAATCAACGCTGAATTAACACATTTAATTCTTGTTTTATTTTTCTAATAAACCTTAATGACATACATATACATTCTCCTGCTCCAGAGTAGTTTTAAGTATGTTAAACACTATTATCTACCATGTTTAATAAAACAGACACGTAGAGGGAAAAAAAGGGGAAATCGGTAGCAAAAAACAGCAAGGGTATGAGTTTCAATGTTGGCAAAAACGTATGTAAAAAAGGATGATACACACATACACTTTCACCACGCAAACACTCTTGATTAATGCTCATCATAAATAAGGAACTGAATGATTCATTCTGGAATGAATTTATGTCAAAGTTCTTCACTCCTTCCTTCTCCTCCTGGTTGTGAGTTGTGTTCCCCTTTCAGTGTGAATTGTGGTGAGTAGGAGTAGGGCCAGCCCCAAGTTGCAGAACCATTATCTGGGCCTTGTGTGTTTGCCTTCAGTAACGGAGAGGGGGAAGTACCATCTGGATTCATCTTTGTACTATAGATACTCAGGGCGCTGCAGAACACAGTCAGACACAAAAAACGTCCTCATCACATGCAGACAGCGAGCTCAGGAAGCGAACAAACACACTGCTTTGGTGCGCAGCAGAGGAAACTCAGGACCTGCACAGCCGTCAGCTCGTAAACATCTGTCTTCCCGCTCTGCCGTCGGACCGACGATGCCAAAGCCTACCCAGCATTCCCTAATCCCTTTCCTCCTGTTGTGGATCGCCATCCTGTCCATTGTCCAGGTTGTGGCCATCATCCTCTTCTTCACAGCTGGACATCAATGCCCGGTGAGACCTCTTTAAAAAAATATATCCTCAGATTTAATTTACAGAACGTTGCAGTGTCTTATGGGCGTTAATGGTGAGTTACAAACTTGTAGATCAGTGTGACCATAGTATAGCAACGCATTTGAATGAAGTAACAGAGTACAAGTTGACTGTCAGCTGTGGCATGTCGAAACACCTGTGCAGTGCAGCTGCTCTTTCTTGTGGTTTTGGTAGCACATCTGGTGAGAAAGACACCTCTGCATGTGGTCTGCAGCTGGTTACAGAGACCCCTATTATGACTCCCGAAAACAGTGGGACCTTTTGCATAATGTTCAAACAGAAATGTTTATTTTTTTAGATCCAACACCACATCACACCCCAGGGATAAAACAATGCAACACAACAAATTAAACCAGAATGGAGCACAACTGGTAAACTTTTAAGGAAATATAAGTCTAGCATTGTTTAATGTTGGGGTTTGGCGTAAATATTTCACAAGTTTGACGCTTTGCATTCAAAGATTTAATTTAGAGAACGTGAGAGGGTTTTTATTGTTGGGTCAACCTTCATCCACTACCACTTTTAATTTTTCAGGACACTCTTGGACCATTTATCATGATCTATTCATTGTTTTGAGCGTATGTTGTGCTTCTATTTCCTTCTCCAATCTCAGAACAATAGCGCCGTAGCACCAGAGCGCCCAATGCAATTCCAGGCAAACAATACACCTTCGGTAAGACAACCGCAGCTTCAGAGTTTGTGCTTCTCCTTTTGACCTCACTGTGTTGCGTTACACACTTTCGTGGTGATTAAGAAGCCGTGCTGTATTATTCTTTGTCATATGATTTTGCAATCCCCACTATTCCAGACGCACACACAGACATCTTGCAGACGCGCTA